GAAAAAATACCAGTCATAGTACAGTAGCTTCAAGAAAATTAAATATTTAAGAATTAACCTAACCAGGAAGTGAAAGACCTCTACAATGAAAACTATAGTACTCTGAAATAGGTAGATCAAAGAGACATCAGAACATGGAAATATATCCCCTTTTCCTGGATAAGCAAAACCAATATTGTCAAAGGCCCACACTTCCAGAAGTGATACACAGATTTAATGCAATCCCAATCAAAACACCAACATCATTCTTCACAGCAATAGAGAAAAACATCTTAAAATTCATATGGAATCAGAGGAGATCTAGAATAGCAAAAGTAATCTGGGTAACAACAGTAAAGCAGGAGGCATCACAATCCTGGATTTCAAGTTATATTACAAAGCTAGTGATTAAAAAAACAGCAGGGTACTAGCGCAAACACAGACACGTGTGAATCAGTGGAACAGAGTAGACATGTTGTAACAACTCCATGCACATTCAGGGGCCAAAACCATTCTGAAGGAAAGACAGCCTCTTTAACAAACGGTGTTAGGAAAACTACACATGCAAAAGACCGGATCTAGACTCATATCTCTCACCATTCACTAAACTAAAATCAAAATGGATCAAAGACTAAAGTTAAAACAGAAATACTTAATCTGCTGGAAGACAAAGTAGGTAAAATTCTTGAAGACATAGGCATAGGCAAAGACTCTGAGCAGAACCTCAATTGTGCAAAAATAATGTCACGAATCAACAAATGGGAATATATCAAATGAAAAAAGCTTCTGCACAGAAAAGGAACAACCAACAGAGGGAAAAGACAAGCTTCACTCTGGAAAACTCTTCGCACATGGAAACAAATGTTTGGAAGCTACTCCTTGAGCAAAGGACTAATATTTAGAATACATAAAGAATTCAAAATGAATTATTTTAAAAAATAAAAAGACCCAATCAAAGAGTGGGCAAGTGAAATGAACAGACCCTTCTCAGAAGGACAAGCAACCAAGAAATACATGAAAAAATGTTCAGCAAATCTGGCCTTAGAGAAATGCAAGTTAAAACAACAGAGATTCCACCTTATTCCAGAAAAAATAACTTTTATCAAGAAACCAAATAAATGCTGGCAAGGCTGTGGGAAAAAAGGAAGCCTTCTACATTGTTGGTGGGAATGTAACTACAAGCATTATGGAAATCAGTATGGAGATTCCTCCCAAAAAGTAAAAACAGAAATTCCATTTAACCTAGCTATTTCCCAAGTATCTAGAATTAAAGTCATCATATTACAATGATATATGAAAATTGATGTTTATAGCAGTGCAACTTATAATAGCTAAATCTTGGAAGTAACTTATATGTCCATCAACAGATGAATGTATAAAGACAATGTGGTATATAGGCACATTGGAGCACTACTCTACTACAAAGGAAGGTAAACTTGGTTCATTTGTAGGAATACAGAAGCACCTTGAGACCACAGTGTTAAGTGAAAGAAATCAGGCACACAAGTTTAAATATCACATGGTTTATCTTATATGCGAAACTTGAAGTACAAATACTGTAAAAAGCAAACTAAAAGATAACAGGAAACAGAGAGATTTATCATTTGCAAGTGAGGAGGGGATCAGGAGCCTGACGGACTGGGGAGGGTGGGAACAGGAAAAAGTAAAAAGAATTAAGGTGTCATGCACACGTACCGACTCCACAAGATAAACTAATCGTTACTTACTGCAAGCATGTACCAACAAAAACTAAAATTTCATAAAATAAACCTCACCATAGCATATGAGACAAATTTTGATGTTTCCTATTTTATTCCAATTTATTATTCTGCATCCTACTTTGCTCCACTAAACTGCTATCAAGGCCTACTCAGGCACTATTGTCCACAGTTTCAAAAACATGAATGAAACTATTACTGAACTGAAGGTATGGATATCTTTTCAACCATGATTATCTCTAAAGAACACCAACACTTACTAGGAACTTAAAATTAGCAATTCTTGATAGACAACTGAAAAGCTGTTATTTTCAAGGGAGCCGGGGGCAATTACGAACAGGGTTTGTTTCTTTTTTAATTTTTACATCTGCAGGACGCAGCACAAAGCCTGGCCTAGAGCTAGTTCTCAACACGTTTGCTGAACTGAGACCAACTAGCTAAAGGCACAGTTTAATACAGCATTTCACAAACAAGTTTTATGACAAAAGAAACATTTCTCTTGGTTATGGCAATACAAATATTCAGTTAGGGCTTCTAACAGTAACTTGTATTTGCCCTCAATAACACGATGTTGCTCGGAACAGCCTCCCACTTCACGGATGGGAATGCTTCTTCCAGGAGTGCAAACTCCAGCCGCCACATGTCTGGAAGGGGCAAGTCACACTGGCAGGTGCCTCTATTGCCTCAGAAGTCCAACACTCTAATTTCCTATTTTTCTTAGCTAAAGGAGCTTCCAAATTGTCAAATTATAATCAATTTTATGTGAGTTATTTCTCTCTTCTCAAACTATATTGTCTAGTAGTGTCAGAAACTGTGACATGGTATGTGCTACCTTACTATTACAATCCTAATGATTTGTGGGGAAGAAACAAAAGAAGCACACACACACAAGGCAGGCATGGTAATACATACCTACAGTCCCAACACTCTTGAGAGGCTGAGGCAGGAGGATTCAAAATTCAAGCCTAGGTAACTTAGCAACTTAGTGAGGCTCTGTCTCAAAATAAAGTAAAATAAAAGTGAATAAAAGTTTAAAAGAGGGCTAGGGACATAGCTCAGTGGCACAAGCACTTGCCTGGCAAGTGCAAGGTCCTGAGTTTGATACCCAGTACAAAAAAAAAAAAGGTTAAAAGATTTGAGGATGTCACTCATTATAAAGGCCCTGGGTTCAATACCTGGTATTGAAAAAAAAAAAAAAAAAAAAACTTTGAACTTTTCTACCTCAGAGATGTTGTAGCTTTCAAAAGACCTAGTTCTTGAAGAATTAGAAAACATAGGTCCTGTAACTTCATCTTTACAAAGAGAAAATAATAACAAAAACCCCAGCCATGAATAAATCTTATTTTTTGAAATAAAGTTCTCTGCCTTGAAAGAATCACCATAACCTATCCCTTGTGTTCACATTTCAAACTATAGCTAACCATCTTTATCTAAAGAGAAGACCCTAACTCTTAACAAACTGAAAAAGGATTTTAATTGTTAGTAAACTTTTCTGCTTGACTGAAGAAACTGATAAAAGTTTACGATGTTCAAATTTAGTTGGGCTAGCTTCTGTCTGGGATATCAGCTCTTCTTTTTCGTTTTCCCCCTTCCTAGCTCTTCTCATCGGTGTGTGTTATGTTCACTATGGGTCCTATGGAGGGATGTTGACACAATAAAGAAGTCAGAGGGATACAGAGGTGGAGGCTTCAGGAGATGCACCTCTCCCAGTTTTACCTCTGCAAAAGGGGAATCTACAGACAGCTCAGGTTTGGATTTTTGTGTGGTTTAATTTTTTGTGTGTGAACTTTTTGTGAAAACTCATTACACTAATGGAGTCATTCCTGTCGAATTCCACTAAAGGAGCCACAGGAAAGAAAGGAAACTGCTCAAGGATGCCTATTCCAGAACTGTATCACAGAATCAATCTAAGAGAAAAAAATACCTACCATATCTTTAAGAGCGTATTTTCTTAGCAACTAGCTACAGAACTATGACCTTACCACTTTGCTGCCAATCAGCATTTTGCCAGCTGTTAAAAGTAGGAAAAGTGCCAATGAACTTTCTCCCAAAACAACTTATGTAGATATCTCTGCAGTGGCAAAACACGTTTGTCCTCTGGTCATACCCATGTATGTGTCTTGGGTTGCAATCCTATTCTTTCTTATTCCCAAACTGAAGACTTTTTTTTTGACAGTCTGTATTAATGATTAATTGCGTACCCAGTTTAGGTAAAATCACTTACTTCTATTTCATTCTTCCTTAGCCTAATCCCAACCTCTATACTATTCTACTCAAACCTGAAGCCCTAGTATCTAACTGAAATTGATTAACAATCCAAACCCTCCAACTTAAATATAAACTAGACTACTTCTCCATTCTATTCTTATCTGTAGCTTTGTCACGTATGTATTATAGAATTTTCCTTATGATACATGCACTCAGATCCGCATTGATAAATTTTAAAATACTCGTATTTCTTATCACTATAATAATTTTAATTACAGCAAACAACCTATCTAAACTTTTCATCGGCTGAGAAGTAGGAATTATATTTTTTATTAATCAGATGGTGATATAGTCGGACAGACGCCAATACCGCAGCACTACAATCTTATATAATCGGACTGAAGACATTGGATTTGTACTATTCGTGTCATGATGCCTTCTGTACTCGAACGCATGAGATTTCCAACAGTCTTTTATTACACAGGATAAAATTGCACGACCAAGATCTGCAACCATAAACGGATATTCTTCATCAAAACGGACTTTATATAAGGTCAGTGTTTTCACTGGGACCCACTCCCTAACGTGACTTCTCCCTCTCCCCAAAGGGCCACCTACTATTCTTCCCTACCTGCACACATCTGCACACGACTTTGAAACCTGCAGGAAGGTGAGAACAATGAAAGCCACGTGCCTCCTTACCCCTCCACAACACCAGACCTACATCTGATTGGGGAACATGACCCCATCTGCTTTCCACTCCCCGGGCTGCCCCAGCGCCGGAATCTAGATGCCCTTCTGCCCGGCCCTCGGGACACTCTGTCCTTGCGCGAGCCTCCCTGCGCCCTGGGACCCCTGGTCTTCGCTCCTGGCACCGCGGGAAGCCCTGACTGCTCTCCTCACAGCACCCCAGGAAGCCCAGCCCTACCCCGGACTCCCAATCCGCTCTCCTGGAGCTCAGGACGCCTAGTTCTGGCGCGAGCCTCTCTGTACCCTGGGGCCTTGGTCCTCGCAAGGCGCGCCCGGGCCCGCAGCTCGAAGGCGGACGCGGTCAGGGGAGTAGCCGAACCCTCAGACCCTCCAGCGCCGCCTTACCCGCCGAGGACAGAAGCCACAGGGCAGGTGGGACGCCCGGGCAAAGAGCGCAAGGCCCAGCCACGCCATGTCAGCAAGATCTGTCCGGAAGGCAGCAGGCGCGGGGCGGGCCCGGAGCAGAGAGATCCGGGGTGGGCCGGGGCAGCGACGGGGCGGGACGGCGGAGGGAGCCTGCGTGTCCCCGGGGTGGGAGAGGGCGCTGCCTCTCGGCCTCCAGACGCTTTTGTTTGTGCTCCAGGCCCGCTGGGTTTGTAAGGCAGGGAGTAGCAGCTACGTGTGCTTGTGTGGTTGGACAAACCCCTGGGCTGTGCAAGAGTTTGCAGACTGCACAAGCCAAGCAACTGTAACCACACAGCCCGCAGTGCGCCCATACTTATTTTTCGGTGACTTACGTTTATTCTTTAAATGCATGTTTAAATTTCGCGGTTGATATGGCCCTAAATCATTTTATGTAATTCCTCGCTTTTAAACAGGGCCTCACTTTCAGAAAGGCAAAACAGCTGAAGTTTCTCAAGACATACTACCGCCTGTCGCTGAAATGCACGGCCTTTGTTTTTCTCTCAGAGGGATTAAGGCACACCTAAAAAGCAAACGCAGACCTTTAATAAGGTTGACCCTTGAAGAAAAGGGCTTTGTGCAGATTGGTTTATAAGCTTTTTTATAGGCACACTCTTCCTTGACTTGATGAGAAATCTTGAAAAATCTTGGCAAACCAGGCAGCCTAAAAATATATTCTTAAATACCGGTATGTCATGTTTGCATAAAATATATGTAGATAAGTCTATTTTATCATTTACCGTCATACAATATACACGACTTATTTTGAAAGTTAAAATTTATCAAACTTCAAGCGCACAGACTGTACATGGGGTTGGTTTCAGTCGAGAAACAAAGGATCCAATGAAGAACTAAATCAGAACTATTTAAAATTAGCTGCAGTACACCCTATACTACCCTGATATGTCAAAAACACCTCCTGTTGGCCTTGTGATGAGCTCAGGTGTTGTAAGCAATGCTTAAAAACCATCTGCTTATGCACAGTTCATCTCTAGGAAATTGTTTATTGCAGTAATAAAGGATCTCACAGTTTCTTCTCGTTTCTCACTATATATAACACATACATGTGCAAAATGTTTTTTATGTTATTGGTAAGACTTCTGGTAGGTAGCAGGTTATTAGCAGTTAAATTTTGGGAGACTTGCAGAAGAGGCTACCTTTTTATTTACAATCTTTTTTATCCCATATGTAGCACAATAGTAAATCCTTAACATTTGTCCAATGGATAAGTACTGATACTGTTGCCATTTTCTAAAGATGACATAAAAATAACTTAGAGGAAATCTTGTAGCACTGACAGGAACTACTAAAGAGCAAACTGGGGCATGAAATAAACACTTGGTTCCTAAAGCAATGAATCACTCCTGTTAAGCAGGAGCTAGGGCACCTAACATCAGTGCCTGATATGTTGCTCATGAAAGCTGCTATTTCTCAACATTACTCTATGTGTCAAACTGTTTAGCACCTCTGTGGGTCAGCTTTCCCATTGCTGGAGCAAACTACCTGACACCTACAACTTAAACAAGAAGTTTTTTTGGTTAATGGTTTCAGAGGGTTCAATCCATGGTCTAGGGGCTCAAAGTCAGTATCATGGCTGAGCTGCTTAGCTCATGACAGCTAAGAAGGGCAACAGGGAAGCAAGGCCAGGGAAGAAGAGGTCAAGGGGTAGATATAGTACCCAAGGTCACACCTGCATGACCTACCCAGACACAGTCAAAGTGTGCTTTACTCACCCTCTAGGTAGTACCCAAGCCAAGCAAGTTGACAGTAAAACTTAACAGTCACAGCACACTATGTATACATTTAAGTAATCCCCACAAGCTTTTATAAAATCTATACTACAATTGTCAACATTTGGGAATCTAAAGCAAAGAGCAGTTAGGCATTATTGTACAGTTTATAAAGTCAAAGAGTCTGAGCTCAGTTTTCCTGGCTTAGGCTCCATGCTCTTGGGTACTGTACTTTGTTCCTTATGGCTAGATGTAGACTTATAGTTACACTTCTGGGGTTCAAACTGATCTATACATTTCACTAGAAGTGTAATGTTTACCCACTTATAAACTTGCTTTGTCTAATGTCCTTATCTGTGAAATATATATAAGAAAGGTTCATAAGGTTGTCCTTAGGTTTGAACATTAGTTACTTTTTATCATAAATGATGGATATATTTTATCTCTTTGGCATATAGAAGGCTGAACTTTTTTTCTGACATTTACAATATTTTTAGAAGATTGTCTGCAATTCTGGCTTAACACTTATTGAATAATAAAATTATTTCCTTTTGTCTTTGTTCAAATGCTTTCTGGAGTGGTAGGAGATTTTGTCCTTAATTATATTGCCCCAGTAACAGTGTTGGCCAAATCTCTGGGCACCTAATCCTAAGATGTGTAATTACAACAACCTGCACTACTGAAGTAATGAAGAATCATCTGTTTCGGAAATGGCCAGAGGGTTGCTTAGATTTGTTTTGGAGAGGGAATAAAGTGACAGGAATTTCACTGGTTTCTTCAATTCTCACTATTGAAGAATATCAGTAATGCTCACCTGAAAGTAAGAGTCAGGATTACTTCAAATGGGAAATTTGAGAAAATGCCCAGGAACATCCTGGAAGTTACAAGTCTGAGTGTGAGAAAAGGAAGCTAAAGTTGACGGCATCCCTCTCTCTGGCTTTGGATCCAGCACTCAGTCCCTGGGCTGTACATCACAAGAATTGCTCAGCAAAGGTGGTCCAAGGACTCTGTCAAGTCTGGGGCTGAATAGATCCAGGGGCTGCACTGAGAAGCAAACAACCTGATTTTGTTCTTGCCACAACTCTACTACAAAGTGGCTTTCTACGATTAGGCAAATCAACTTTTAGCAGCTTTATTTTCCTCACAATTAGGGAAAATGGCATATATCATTTCAAAATCACTTGTAGTTCTAAAAATATATGATTTTACAAATAAGCTATATTTGGCAGAATTATTCCAGGCTACCTGGTGTGATACTAAAGAGATCATTGTGAAATGATGCTGTTAAGATAAAATAACTGCTAGGTATATTTTATGTATCTCTGGTGCTGGAATACTTCATCCAATTTATACCTTTTAGATAGTCACAAAGCTTCAGATTTTCAAGGTACTTTGTATTCATTAATTAGTTTTTGAATGACTTCTAAAATGGAAGTTTACCCATGATCCCATTATATAGGGCTATTATTTGATCTCATTCTGTACAGTTCAGTCTTACCTCTCTGCAATTTGAGGTTTTACATTCTTTCAATTTTTCAAAAAATGAGTTATGTCGAACATCTGATTTGATTCAAGTAATTCACTGGTGCTTCAATTCATTCTAATTATATGCAGATTAGTCTTACACATAATGTTATATTCCTATATGAAGGTGAAATGTGTAAGACATGCAGAAGTTAAATGATTTATTCTAGTAAAATACCTTTCTTGTTATCCATTGATTTATCTCCAGGATCATAAAATACATTTTGAATCAATCCTTGTTTTCCAAATGCTCCTTTTCGCTCCACACCCAACCAGCCTTCTCAGTTCCAACATAAACAACAGTGGGGACAAGTAGCAAAAGAGGCTCAGTGCATTGTTGAGTTCAGACATAGTTATGTGGCTGCCACGTGTCCATCACTATATTTAGCAAACTGGGCTACGCCGGTCCCAAATTCCTACCCAGGTGCCACTGTTAAGGAACCAACCCACTCCAGTCTTTTCCCCACCTAAGTGCCACTTGTAGGGACCTAGTACTGCTAGTTTGTCACCCCATTCCAGGCGGCAAACAAAGATGAAAGACAAAGGGATAAGAGTCAGTTTAACATGTGGGCAGCCAGGGAGCTCTCATCTCTAGTAGGCAGAAGAGCTTAGAGCATCTGGCTTGTCCTGCTTTTATTCACTCAAACATAGGTACAAGCAATTAAAGTAACACAAGATTTATCTGTCTTTCACTATGCATTAGTACACGTCCAGGTAAACAATTTGAGCTCAGCTGTACTGACTTTTCCCACATGCTGCTTTTCTCATTTATGTTCACAGAGGAAACCTCAGTTCTCCTTAACTGGTCTCCTACGATTATGGTGAATACTGCAGATATAAACATAATTTAGACAATGGGGACACAAAGACAACCTAGACATCATTCCAACCATCAAGAAAAGAAAAGGAAGCTAAAGTTTGTTTTATACTTACAATGTATCCAATTTAATCCTAACAAAAATATTGCAAGGCAGCTATTACTTAATCCTGCTTATAGAAAGGAAGACACTGAACTACTTTTGATAGTTATGTTTACATCATCTTGAAACAATTAAGTTCAAGCTCTACTAAACCTTAATACAATTTAACCTTAGATACTAATGGGAGGGGCGTGGCAGGGAGTGCTGGCCTTTGAGCTGGACCCGAGCAGCGCAGGCACCCAGGAGGTGGGCAGCTGGCGCCCGGGAAGCCGCATAGTAGCCCTCAAGCCAGCCACTGCCACGCAGTCAAGAACTATCATGGCACAGAGAAGCAATGACAAAATTGGCCCGCCATGCACAGGCCACAGAGGGGCACCTGGGGATGTGTGTGAAACATCCCAACATGGGAAAACCCCTGGCAATAAATGCCACACAACGGGTTGTTCTTGCCCCTGCCATTGAGAACCAGAAAGGTCCAGAGTCAGTGGAGGAGTAGCTGCTGAACAAGGACTCAGAGAACACGAGAATACAGGCTACTCCCAAAGACGCAGAGGTCTAGTTGACTGGGGTCAGGAGAGGCATTTGGAAGCTGGAAACCAGGAGGACCTTGTGAGGTACCTGAGGAGACCCCCTGGAAACCATTCTTCCCCTGACAGTACAGGCTGCAGTGGAGGAGTGCGTGGAGCTCCAGAGAGGTCTGCACCGAGATTCCTGCTGCCTGTGCTGATGGTTGGGGAGAGGACACTAAGTGGTTGTGGGGTCCCAATGCACTGGGAGGCTAGAGAGAAAAAGCTACAAAAAATGGTTTTTGCCCCAGAAGACTCACTTGAGATGTTAGTAAGAATTGCTTCCTCAGTATTCTATAGCCATGACAAGGAGGAGGCCAAGGAGAGAAAACAGAGACCAAGAAAAAGCAGCTGCTTTTGCTGTAGCACTAAGAGAAACAGACCCTAAGTCTGATTCTCAGGGCCCCAAGAAGAACTTGATGACTGCATTCATCTGCTACCACTGCTAAAAGTCAGGCCACTGTAAGAGGAAC